TTTCAAGCCGTGTTAGAGGAACAATATATGCTAAGTATAGAATACCTGCGCCAGAACAGAAATATTTTTAAGCTATGAAGGCTTTGATGCACAAAAAGTTAGGAAAAAAAATTTTCCTGGAAATTTTTAATCTTCCTGCTTTGTTTAAGTTTAAATTAAATTTTCCAATATATGACAAATTTATATAAAAATTTAATATTTTCCCACTTAATGTTTTATGACTTTCTTCATACACATCATTGTACCTATATATCCATCCACATGTCCCAAGCAGCCGCTCTTAGGAAATGTATTAGGCAGTCATAATTTTCCTTTTGTAGAAAAACTTGATTAACTTTCTTCTGAACGTCTACCCACAGTAAAATGTCATTATTTCGGTGTAAACACAAGCATAAATTTAATTTTAATATTTAATAAAGTTTACTTTATCACGCATCCATTATAATTGGGCGCAGAACAAAGCACACGACAGCAGTTAAAAGATAAAAATACTGGAGGAGGCATGCAATTACCGGATAAGAAGTTCAAATTGAAGAGCAGAAGTAATGGGGAAGCAGCTAATTTGCATTTTGATTGATTATTTATGCAACGGGAAACAGCGTTCACCAGTTCACCAAGGTATGGAAATATGGAAGCAGGCTCTGCACTCGCGTAAATTTGCTAAACGCCAACATAACAGCGCATATGGGACTCAGAGGCAATTTGGTAAATGTTACCACAAATAATTCAGGATGAATGCGCTTAAACTCTAAATAATAGCATTGCGGGAATTGAGAGCAAAAGCTTAGCTGACGACTACCACAAGCAACCGATTAAAGTAACAAGCTTTAATCTATAATGCCATACTAATATGATTCTTATTAGCTCAAAGGACTGAACTGAAAGGAACATTTTTCAAACTACAATTTAAGCCAAATTAAGCCAAAATAATTCAAAAGTTTTAATTACCAACTTTAATGACTGAGATAAGATAAATTTGGGTTTATTATTTATGGCACAAGCAACTGGACCTAATCAGGCGATAGACTAATGTCTTTGGTCAAATGCATAATGATTATGATAATAGAAAGTTGGTTAGAAATTAAAAGCGTTACACTTTGGCAGCAGCACAAAAGTTAAACTCTATTTCCAACCCTATTTTGCAACCCTATTCCAACCCTATTTTTATACGCTTACCCTATTTAGTGCTGGGAAAATTGTAACCAACGAAACCATATCCGGTAGAGCAATTCAGTGCGTCTGCTGGGTGTAACTTTTTTCTGTTGGCTCAGTAAACCAAGGTACATTTAAATATTCATTGTCCTTTCTACATTTTATTTTGATTGCGTATCAAGCCGTTGTTGGCATTTAACGCACAGCATTTGCTTCTCGGCTGGTGCGGCCATGGTGGGGCCATGTGTCATGGAATGGGGAAGTTAAATAGGATAGACTACTGTACGACACTGTTACTTGTAGACAAGAAATTTCACATTTTACATTTTACATTTTAACGCAATAAAAAATAAACTTTTCTAATTAGAAGCCATTATGCGATCAAAGCAGCAATTATCCTTAAAAGTTGCCATGGTTTTTTGGTTTGACAATGAAATTGTGTTTTAGCATAGCATAGGACTTCGCACAGCTGGGTATTGCACGGTTGTACGGGTATGTATCTCTGTGTGTATGGTTGACAGGTTTTTAACTGCCTTCAAGGTCCATACCGAAACGTTTTTTGGTTGTCATTTAAATTGCTTCAAATTGCATTTATTCTGATTGTTGATTAAAAAATCTAGCTATATTCAAATGCCATATACTGTCATGTTCGTTTGGAGTGTGGTTCTTAATCAAACGGTAATTTTCAGTTACTCTCTATGTATGTATGAAGGCAGTAACAATTTTATGAGTACTTTAGAAAGAGTGTGACACTGACAACTTTCAAGCTATTATAAAATTTTAGAAACTTATTCCAGAATTTATTCAATTATAAAAAGAAGAACTATTATATTTTTTGCAAAAGATACTTTGATTTCTTAAATCATAAAGCAGTGTACTATCCACTTGATAGTTAAGTAACACATTGAAACTGTTTGCCTAACTTATAAACACAAATATAATATATATAATTTATTAATTTAATTACCTACAGCACAGATCAGAGTACCTGCATTCATTTGCTATGGTATTCATTAGGCCCTATTCTGCTGCAGGAAGCGCTCAAGCGAGAATATCTGACATATAAGTGCATTCTCCATACAATTTTTGACAATAATTTTCTAAACTGGAATAATGAAATTTCACTGTGCCAACCACAATTACAATCACAATTACATTGAATAACAAACAAAAGGCAATAGTCATGCTAAGTAATGAGAAGACATTTCAGAATTTGTGTCATATATTCCATTCACAAAGAACAACTAGAAAAACAAGATAAGATCAATAATTGAAGACGAAGAAAACTTCTTTATCATTGCGGCGTGAAGCTGTTGAAATTGTTTTCCAGGCTTTTCGCTTTACAACACTGTAACTCATGTATTCATGTACCGATAAATTAAAAATTATTCAGCTAAAATTTGTCTACATTCACGGGCCATAATTTATACCAACTAATACCTAAGGAGGGCTCAAAAAAAGTAAATAAATTAACAAAATCACAAGAGAAGACAAAGAAGATAGGCAACATAAAACGAAACGATAAAGTTTTTGGGAAATTTGAAAAACTTTGCCGCCCAATGTGTCAATGTTAACACTGGAAAAACCACAATGGGCCAAACCAAACTGTGAACAACTCATAGAAATGTGGTTGCCTCCACTCGACGTGCCTAAAAGTTTACATAATTGAAATAAGTTTGTCAGCGAAACAAACAAAAATAAGTAAAATAAATAATTTTATGTTGAAAAAATAAATTTAAATTAAGCTGGTAACATTGTTTTGGGGTTAAGAGGAACTAACATTGGTTGAAATGGTATAGGTAAATATTTGAACTTTGAGGTGACTAACAACTCACTGAAAAGTCACCTTTAACCCATAGTAACGCACAGTTTTCGCAAGTAAGAAAAGTAAGTAAAAAATTAGTACGGACTGAGTAGGTTTTACAGGTCTATTTACGGATTCATTTAATAGGCGTCTAATTAAATTCTTTTTTTATTTATATTTTTACAAATCGTCCCAGTTATAACTATTTAAATTTACAGTAGCCGATATATTTAATTATAGTTTTCACTTTTTTATATTATCTGTACTTTAGTTACATCAATATTTTTGATTAATATTTTGTAATCACTCGCTGTTTCCGTGTTATAGTTCTTATACACATGGATAGAGAAAGCTATTAGATCCCATCAATTTTCATTATTTTCCTCATAATTTTCACTCATTTCTATACATATTTAAAGCCGGTTTTTATGAAGTGAATCTTCATAAAAACATATCCATAATAGGTGTTTATACATTTACATAGGTGTTTATAACTAAGAAGTTAACTGCATTTATTATCACCTCATTTTTCCGATTTGGAGTTGGAGTGTTATTAAGAACGCCAAATCATCCGTTAAAATTATAATTTAAATTTAGTTAATATGCAATTATGTTCTTGATCTTGAACGTTCATTAATTTGTGACTTCACCAATCAAGAATTTTGACCAAAATTCGTACTCCATAGAAAAATGTCTGGTATGGATTCTATGCAACCACTGCAAAATTACAAAAACAATGGTGCACTCTCTCTCCATATGCTATGTGGCAATTATTATGTAGTTCTGCAGGCCTAAGTTTTCACCGAACTCCATAAAGTTTGGCAAAACGCATCTCTTGCATCCGATGGCGGCACAAATAATTTCGACTTTCTGTTATTAAGTTCGGCAAATTTAAATATTTATTTTAGAATATCTATTTAAATATCTTAACACACTCTCCGTGAATGCTTAAAACTAAATAATAGATTTGAACAGCTTTAAGATAGAGTAGTCATTCCAAATGACATATAGAACAAAACAAAGCCATTGAACATTCCTAGGTTTATTTAGGATCCTAAGGATCCATAAAAATAACTGGAATTAAGACAAGACAGCACCTAAGTTCCAAGGTATAAATTTCCCTAAATAATAAATGGATATAATATGAATAGATATAATTAATATGAATAGTTTAAAAATAGTATTATGAGTAGATAATGCAAAATGGTGGCCTAAGTGGATCCCTTGGGATCGCCGGTATGATTTAATACAAAATGGGCTGGTAAGTTTACTAAAATATCAGTGAAGGCGAAAATAAGAACTTAACAAGAACGTAGGCAAAACCAAAGGTTACTATTTTTTTATTTTATAAATAGTATCCATTTTATGTATATCCTTACTGTCTTAAATCTTGGTAACAATTCAACAGAAACGTTGGTAATAAAATTCGAATAAAATATATTTAATTAAAGGCATTCAATCATAAATTGATCTACAGTATCTTGTCAGTCCTTAATATAGTTTATAGAGATTATTGTTACTATTATCATAGTATCCTTTCAAATTACTACTTATTTTTATTTTATTATTAATAATTTAATATTAAATTTAATAAAATTTAATATTTTTGTTAATATTTATTTTAAAATTTGCAATTATAAAATCATCAGCAATTATTTTATTTATTTTAATACACATTACACTAATAAATTAAAATGGATATGTAAACATTAATTAGTAAAAGTTTGAAATCAAATAAACATTCAGAGCTCACAAAGAAAATGGGAATAATGACGATGATATGTTCTAATTAAAAATATATTTCCAGCATATGAATTCTGAACGATTTAATAATTGTCGACAAATTAGAAAAATATAGTAATTCATTAAATTTATTAAAAGTTTTGAATACACTGGTGTTGGTAGTGTTTTAAAAATCCTTTCTATGATTGTTATTTATACTTCCGAATAACCTTTCACATGTTGGAAATTTAATACATCCTTAAAACCAAGCCTAATACTTTGCATCTTATGTTAAAATTTTTTTAATAACTGCATAGCTCACCTCAATAAACTTCCGGCATGTGAACGATAAGTTGGAGGTGGAGAACTGCCACGAACTACACCATGTTGCCGATCCCTGTCCAATAGTAAAAGCCTGTAATAATAAAGTAGTATTAAGCAATATTTAAACATTCGTTGTGTGTAAATGTATTTATGCAAATTAAATAAATGATCCTTAAACATGTAAGCGGAAATATTTAAATTCCATTTAAAATTGCGCAAAGTACTTCCATTGTTGTCCAGCTTGTAATGCATGTATGCAGCAGGACATGGAAAGAAAGGATATCTAGCACGAATCCATAAAACACGCAAACCACAATTTGTGGTCACACCAAACTTAATTGACAGTTTCTTTGTGTTTTACATTAAAAATTGCACCTAATGTTTTTTTTAGTCATTGTTTTTGTTTCGAGAAGTAATGCACTGACCCCGTTAAAAATACAATAGTGGCGTGCAGGTGGAAATGCTTACTTACCTCAATCGATATTCCTGCATGCTAGCCTGGTACGATGGCGGCGGTGGTCGATGTTGAAACTCTGGATACAAAAGTCCATGAGGTGCACCACCGCCACGGCTGCACGGTCTACGTCCGCACCGACCTATATCGACGCTTGAACCCAAGCCCAAACAAGGTGGTCCGCCAGGTGCAGTCATACGCCAAGCGGCACCACTGACCGTCACTAGCACAACCCCGACACCTGCAAATAGAAGCAAACAGAGAAAAAATCAAATTATAAATCAATTTCAATGAACTGAAAGCTGATTAAATGGAAATAAGCATACAAAGGGATTTGTTGAAAAGTAATTTAAAAGCATAATAAATCAGTTAAATGTATTTACCTACATATATGGAAATGCAAAAAAAACATTGAAATTAAATGACAACATAACGACATATCAATTGATTGAATTTGTATAAAAATAATCTGGTAGACTAATTAAAAACTAATTTTTAATGCTCAGTCAAAATAAATATTTTTGAAATTCATTTCGAAAAGGATTTCTAACTGTGCAATTAGGAAGATCAAAAATAATCGAAGTGAATAATGCATTGAATCCATCAAGAACACAGCAGAGATAAAACTAATTGTAGTTATAAAAAATAAAATTAATTTAATTTATTTAAATTTAAATTAAAAAAAAAATTAATTATAATTAAAGAATATAATATGAAATAAATTAAATAAATTAAATTTTAAGACAAGAAACCAATTAGAAATAATTGGTCACAATATAAACCAATAGTCTAGTACATATATATACTAGTATATAAATAAAAAGTAGTTTATGAGATCATGGGTTGGAATAATTTTTTATTTATATCAGAAATTCGTTACAACAATGACTGGTATCATCTCTAAAACAGGCATTTCTAATCTCAGTACTAATTTAAGCAGCCATTATTAAAGTTTTTATTTTAAAACGTGAATAAAAATAGTCAATAATGTTTTACCATTCACCATCAAAGAAGGACTGTATTAGGAAGTACCGCAATATGCTGTACCAACTGTTGTTGGTGAGAAGTAATGCGACTATACCTAAATGCTTAATTTGTCTGGTGTCTGATGTTACTAGATATTTTTGTCTTTTGTACAGCATGGTTTCATAGTATGTGACTTGGCGACCCAAGCAAAATGTCTGATTTTCTGATTATGAGATTTAATTCACTAACCCTGAGGCTGCTGTATCAGTCCATAATCCAATTAACTACTGTTGGTTTATATAGTTTTTGATACATTAGTATAGAATTTAATTCTTTCGCTATTATAGTCATCAAATAGAAATTTAGTGTGTTTGAAATTTAAAAAGCTTTCAGAGTTCAATCTTTCCAGTTCAATCTTTATTGATCTCTAAGTAATCTTCTACACAATTATCTACCTATGCTGTAGTCCACAAACACGTCTTTTCTGGTGAGTTCATCTCCTTTTTTCGGATTCTTGCATGTTCAGAAAACTAATGAAGGTTGCTTTTATTGACCTTGCCTAGCAGCGTAGTGTTCAAAAATAAGTTCACACCAACTCGGAGTCAACCTTAATGTTCGAATGGCAGTTCTATTCTCCGAGAATATGATGATGCCTCACCTAAAGTAACCGTTGTAATGACTAAACTGTGCACTTCTAATGTTGGCTAATATTACCATTTAAATAATACTTAAGTTTCTTCTTAAAGATCCTACATATTATTCTTGAACTAAGTACTACTGCCACAGCGTCACTTTCGGGTTTTAATGTATGTATGTACCATAGATTGCTCCATTTCTATTTTGTATGGAACAATGACTAGCCAGTCACTCATTTTGACAGATTGATTGTGTGGGTACTTATGCCTTCTTCAATGTATAGACATAATTGTGTAGGATCATGCCTTCTTCAGAACAATTGACATTATCTGTATTGCTCCATTTCTATTTTGTATGGAATAATGACTAGCCAGTCACTTATTTTGTTAGTTTGATCCTATGGGTACAAATGAGTTTAGAGAGATTAAAATCTTCAATGCGTGCCTCGATTCAAAACTACTGCATGAATCTGCAATCTGATTCTTAACGGCTGCTGTTTTACATGAACCTACAACAATTCTTATCAGATGTCTGCGAGAAATCTTAAATTCTGGGTAACCATTACCGTAAGCAACGAAGGTTTATAAGGCACAACACAACATATTCCTCAAAATGATATCATAAAACACAAATACGGATGGTTAAAATACACACTCCTCAATCTGAATAATGATACCTAACAATCAGTACTGGGGTGTAATACAATAAAATTGTGAACAGCCCAAAACAACGGAGAAAAGAGTAAACTACAGAGCAACAGAGTAAATTTTAAGTGAATCAAACATTGTGAACATAGTGGTTGTCATAGAAACAATTCTCATCCAATAGACTATAGTCTAGACTAGACTATAAACTATAATCTATTGATTATAGACTAGACTTGACTATAAACTATAGTCTAATGGATCCAATATTGCCCAATATTGATTTATTGTCAATCCGATAGTCTTTGCTAATAGACTAAGTTTTGAAATCTTATTCAAGTCAATAGCCGATAGATATAAATGCATTTTTTATAATATACTTAAGTATTATATATAAATATAAATATTTTATCAATATATTTCAATAATAATAATCAATCAATCGTGTGTGGCTTATTGCCAGGGTTCCCTAAAAAGTGTATCCCTAAGTGTTAAAGTATTTAATATTTTTTCTGTCAAAGAGTCTTCTAGAGGCTACATTGAACTCGAGTTCCAACGTTGGGAACTGTTTTTCCTATAACATTTACAATGTAATTTATTTAAAAATTAAAATTTTCTTTGTAACAAATACAATATTAGATACTAAACACAATCAACAAAAAAAAAAAACGTTTGCTTGACAATTTTTCCTAAATAAATATTTCTTCCCAGGAGTTCAAGGTTTAAGTTGACATAATCTGACGTTGACGTTGTTTTATGAAATGTTTTCGTTTGTTTCACAGGCAATTCCGACATGATCATTTGCGAAACGCAAATGCGCGGCTCTGAAAATAGACGAACGACCCCCAGCGGACGCATTTGTGAGTGACTTCAAGTTTGTCCGTCATTTCCAATTCGGAACTGCCTCAGCAGATATAATGGCGTGTAAATAAAATTCGAAATTCGTACGCAAAATTATTGTTGAGTATTTTTTTAATAATTAACGCAAAAGACAACAACGGCGCAGTAATTGCATTTGAAGAGATACGCGGGACTACATGTGGCGTGCAACCGCACCGTTCCGACTCAAATTATGCGTATTGTCGTCAATGGTAAATTATTTATTAAGTGGCCATTTCACGTTGTGTTAATGTACTTGAACAATTAAAATTATGTCCGAGAGGTCGTTATTTTTATTACAATTAAAATCAGCTTTTAGGCCTGAGTTCGGTATGGGCTTGGCGCGGTGATTTATTCTTCGGCCAACATGCATAACTCTTAATTCTGCGAAGTTACGACATAATTTTTTATGTAAATTTAAAATTAAATATTTATTGCACGTATAAGAGAACCATATTTTGTATATTATTTTGTAACATGTCTAAAAAATTAGTGTGAAGAACATGAGATGTACACAGCGCTACCAGTTTTTTAAAAATCAACCAAAAAAAAATCAACAGGCATAAATTAGAAGCGACCAAGATTGGCTTTATAAATAACATTAGTTTGCAGCCAAAAATTTTCAAAGACGAGACCTATATTGCCTATAGGGAAATTGAAAAATAATTGAAATAATGTATTTTTCGCAAATAACTCGAAAACGGTATTTAGGAAAAAAAACCATTATGATTTTCGAGTTCTAGGGAAAATTTTCTTATAGAAAATATAGGTAATTAATTGTTTTATTTTTATAAATCAAACTTATATTATACTAATTTTTTATTAAATTAGTTTTAGTGCATACGGTATTAAAACAATAAATAAAACGAACAAAAAGCAACTAGTTATTAATTTAAATTTAAATTTAATCAGATTTAGGCCATTTCACGCAATATTAAATCAACTATGGTACTATAGTACATCAGTACTAATTAATAACATTTTTGTTTTATTTAATTATTAGACGCCTTTCAAATTATAATTAATATCGCATAAGCATGTATAGTGAATCCAAAAGTGCAAGATATAAAGATTATCTCTTATTTTTGCTTGCAGTCGATTTTTATAGTCAACACTGCATTTTTTTGGCACCTATTTTAATGTCAAGTCAGATAAAGAAAAATTGATTAACGGCGAACTGTAGCTATTCTACTAACAGTTTCAAATCGAAAATTCGGTAATTTATATATGTACATATAATCTTTATAATACATACAATAATAAATCTATAATATAATCCATATAATTCCTTCAACGAATAAAGACTCATATCCAGACTCATATCATATCCAGTAGTAAAAATCTATTGTCTTACTTTATTCCAGCTGTTTTAATGAAAGCACAACTCATTTTTAATATATCTTTTCTTTCTATTACGTGAAGACCTATGTTTTTGGCATTAGTTATTACTGTAATTAAATACTTTATAATGATATCTCCTACCAAATTGAATAAAATGCTAGAAACTCATTTCAGTATATCACTGTTATTATTTTGATCACACTAGTACTTTCTGCAAAAGCGTAATGGATCTTGGCATAAAGAAAAGCAGAGTATGTCTGAAATATGTCAAATCCGCTTGTATAAACAATTTAAATAACACCTAGAATACGTAATGGAAAACATATAAAATTCTTATCCGACGTTCTACAGCCACTATAAGCCCAAAAACCTGTAACTTAAGATGAGGAATTAGAAAGTGAAAAAATTATGGCTATGGCTAGACAGTTTATGACAAAAATTAGTTCAAAATAGTAAGTCATAGTTGTATCGGAACCAAATTCTCAAATAAAAGACAAATACTGATCTCATTGAAAATATTAAAGATTCACTGATTAGTATTTAGATATTCTTGTCCTATGTCAAAATAACAATTCAAGTAAATAATAACGATTTAGTTTGGTTTTGTTAAGTACTAAAGGATAACGGTTTAGAAGTAATCTGCATTCTTGATGATACTTACACTCTCTTGATGAGAAAAACTGACTAGTTAGCTAATTTAGTATAAGTTTAGTACAATGACTACTAAAACAATTTTTAAAATTATTAATACAATATCAACAAATAACTACCCATT